GCCAATTTATAGAGTCGCTTTACCGTATGATTATAAGACCTTCCCTTTCGGTCAGGAATTGGCAGCATAAAAATGGGAAAAATATATAAGTTACGATGAATACATGATTTGCATAGTCCAGGCTTGGTATATCAGGATTCGTTCGGCGTTTTGCCACTCGTGGCCGGGATACATGCACACACGGCGCTAATTAGTCGAGACTAGGGGTTCACAGCTCAAACCAGGATTCAACAGGTTTGGAAGATTTCGCAGGTTTTGGCGATTTCGCAGGTTTGGACGGTTTCGCAGGTTTGGATGGTTTCGCAGGTTTGGACGATGTCGCAGCAATGTCTGTGTGCTGACGAGGAGCTAGTTTACAAGTTATTCGTCAATGATTTCTGCTTCTATATTAACAAAGATTTACTTTACCTTTTCCAATATGCCTTAATTGGCCGCCATATTCGGCGCCTGGTTCACCTTCGTACAGCTCTGTTCCTTCTTGGAAATAGTACCTTTGTGTCTAGAAATTTGCTTGAGACATTGTCTCATGGTATGAAACAAAAGCTCACATCCGCGTCGTAACCAACCCGTTCCATGCCACCAGTACGATACGAGACCTATACGATGGTTCATAAGAAGAACGAAGGCGACAAAGAGTTATGAACGCACTGAATCATATTGGGTCCAACGATCCCGGCGAGAGGGCATGCTTATAATTTGTGCTGAAGCGCCGGGGTCCAAGTTTGGATCTAGCTTAGTTACTGACAACATTCAACGTTGAACACGGCTATGATAAAATTCACGTGACGACTTGCTGGTTCTACGGTCCGGGCTTGAACGTGGATATACATCTTTCGGATGGGCTCGACAACTTGGCACCTTGCCCTACGGCGCATATTGTATTGGCATTCTTTATCGGCTTTTGATTTTTAGTTCCAGGAGGCCTTGTACAGTGTAGACGCAGAAATTTGGGACTTGAAAGATGGCAACAGTAGTGACTGAGCCTGGTGCCATTGATCCACACGCTCCCAGTGGCTTCGGAGACGACGACGCAGTTTATCAGAATCAAACAGACGGTCTCATCGCTACACTAGCAAAGAAAAAGAAGAAGAAGAAGCCTAAGAAATCAAAGCCAAGTCCTCTTGTTATACCTGCCACTCCAGCAACGGCAACGCCGGAAGCCAAGCAAGCCGTCCTGTGTATCAGTCGTAACAAGCATTGGAGATACATTAGCTCCTATCATGTCGGTCTCGTTTCCCTTTTGATCAATCGTCTTCGACAACTTTTTTTGTTCGTAGGGACCCTGGCTTCAGCTACCCATAGAATTGCTCGAATCTCTCCTCGTACTCAACTTGGACCCTACAAATTTCACTCCAAAGGATGAGCGACTTCCTCCTATGCCCACCAATAAGAGAACGACGTCGCCTTCGAGGGCGTTGACTCTTCGTCGACCAAACTCCAAACCCACGCCTCCTCCAATAGACCCAGGAGTATTTCGGTCCGTGACGAACATCCGGCGGCTCATCGACGAGGCCTCGGATCTCGCCGTCAGGGCCGCCTCTGGTTTGTCGGCAACCGCGCTGGGCGCGCTACGGTCTCCAGGTGGAGGAAACAATCCTTGGTCAACAGCCCAGGCTCTCGGAATGAATCCGATGGGCGACCAACATGGTGGGAGGGGTACAAGCATGTCAGCAACGAGAACCCATCGGCTCCGTGTACTCGCGGTACAAAAGCTTGCTGCCGCATATAAAGCGGATGAAATTGCTGCCAGCGTCATGGTCATGCAGGGTGCCAGTGCTTTGGATGATTTAGCAGAGCGGGTACTCAAAGTTGGTAAGTTCCTTCCCTTTTCTAGAGTGGCAATGCGGTGACCATCATTCAAGACCCTGACGATCTGGATGCCAAATATGTACACTTTTTCCATGAAAAGATTCCATCTAGGTACATTTATCCGTTTTGTGCGACGGAGTCAAGAGCCTGATTCATTACCACATTCCTAGACAACTGGCGGAGCATACAACCACTCAGACACTAGATAAACTCATAGACGAGCAGCCGACTAGACTGCATTACTTCAGAACTCGAGGAACAGTCCATTGCTTTCGCGACGAATACGCTCTCGCCATCAAGGACTTTACGCACGTTTTCAAAGAAAGCAAGGCGCTCCGCAAGGCTCGAAACTCCCATCATCTGGATGAAACCCGACGTCCAAAGACAAAAGGCAAACAGCATAGAGCGGAACACAAGACGAACGGCCAAGCACCACCAAGTGGCACCTCAGTCCCTGAAGACGCCAGCCCTGTCAATGGCGGAAACCCACAACAGCTGCATTCATCTGTTGGTCCGGATGCACCTGAACCGCTTGAGCCGCAAGTATTGTTCTTGCGCGCGGCCGCATACCTGCAAAATGCGGTATTTCTCATTGAAGAAGCCGTTCTAGAAGTCGAAGGAGTGAAGAGGGTTCCCGCGCAAGATGCTCTAGAACTGAGACACTCACTACTGGAGAAGGGCAAATACGGAGGCGTCTCATGGAATGGCTCGGATGGTCCACTTGGTCCTAAAGCTGGTGCTAAGATGCAGGCATACCGTAAATTGCTCGCATCCCTTCCTTCGCGCGACATCATTGCAGGTCTATTGAAGAAATCTATTCGTGACCACGAAAAGTTCATGACGTACTTTGATACTGTTGATGGCACACTTCCTACGTTTGAAGGAAACGTTGCCCAGCGTATCGAGGCTGCTTTTCTACTTGCCGAGTCGCTGAGACCAGGCAGTCAGTCATCACCACCTCCCTTGCCGGAAAATCCCGGAATTTTCACGACGTACCACCCTCTCCTTGTGGAGTCTCACTTCAGCGTCTTGATATGTCAGCTTTTGCTGGGGGACTTTGTGTCAGTGCTGCCCGCATATCAACGAGCCGCGTCCCTAGTAGATGGTTTGGAGGGGTATCCAGTCTTTCTACCTGCACGATCAATGGCACAGGCAGAGTTCATGGAGATCCTTGAACGAATCGCCAGTACCTGGGCCCCTGGAACCCTTCCGCATTCCCTTGCTGTCCCCAAGACTCTGAGGATAGAGGCAGCGCCGGTAACTCCATCACCTATCTCTTCGATCACCGAGTCACAATTCGAATCGCTCAATAGCACCAGAACCACCAGTCCAATCACCGAGTATGACGCCCTCTCAGACTTCTCGTCTGAACGTAGCAAGTCATCATTTGCACTCAGCCGTCTCTCCTCCAAAGTTTCGGACACTGTACAGCTCAAGAGCAACGGCCGTCGGCACTCGACGGACGACAGTGAACTACTGGAGCGAGGCTTCCCCGGTCACGGCTCTCATGGAAATAGAGTTAATCTAGACTGCCTTCGCATCCTATTGGCACCTGTGGTCAATAGACAGCGAGTGCGGAAAGGGGAGACAGGGAAGACGTCGAACGGAAAGGGCGCTGCGAACAATCAGAAAACATTGTCGGTAAACATTCCTTTACATGGACCCAGAGTGGATCTTGCTTTAGCGTATATTGCTGCTGTCCATCTTCCCGAGCTCGACGAATGATTTCCTAGCATTTTAGCTTTAGTCGTTTTTGGATAACCTCCGAATCGTTCGGACCTAGGCTTCGCTTCCGGTAAAGCTTTGACCGGTGGCTTGTTTGTTGTAGCTTTTGCTCCTCTCCACATCCCACAAATACATAGCTTTCATGACCGGAAGGCCCATTCTGATTGTAGCTGGCGTTGGTAACGCAGGAGGCACTGGAGCGGCCACGGCGTAAGTGAAGCAAGATTCCCAAGCCATGAGACCGTCTAATCGGGCCCTTTAGAAAGGAGTTTGCAAAGGTCTTGGGATATCGAGTTGCTCTTGTTGCTAGACGCCAGAAAGACCTCGACACTATCGCCGCGGAAATTCGTGGATTTGGTGGGGAGGTGCGCACGTCGTTGCAAAGTACTGACTTTCAACTAATGACAGTCCCCAGGCCCATTCGTTTCCACTGAAAGAATATACACGGGAACAGATCGCTGAGGTGTTCAGTGCCGTCAGGAAGAAATGGCCAGATTCCAGAATCAAAGTAGCTCTGTGGAACGCGTCTCAATGGTCTAGAATACCGTTTCTAGACGTTACAGAAGATGTGAGTGCTAACGGTCCTCTTGATTCATTCTCACAAAGTCATGTCCAGGACATCCAAAAGAGCGTTCAAATCAACGTGTTTGTCGTTTTCTGGCAACTCGAGTATTCGCTTACGTCGTCTCGCTATATAGAGTCGCTGCCTTTGCATGGTCTCAAGAAGCTATTAAAGCCATGCTAGAACCCGCGAGTGGTACCTCTGCAGAGGATGCACCAGGAGGAACCGTATTGTTCACAGGTGCAACCTCATCTACGCGTGGTGCCGCATCATTCGCTACATTTGCTGCCGGGAAGCACGGACTGAGGGCACTATCACAAAGCTTAGCGAGGGAGTTCGGGAGGCAGAATATCCATGTCGCCCATGTCATTATCGACGGCACTATACTGACCCCGAAGATCAAGGAGATGTTTGGAGGGAGGAAGCAAGTAGTTCAAACACCTGGAGAGGCTACTGGTGATGAGAACTGGCTTGATGATGACGCTAGGAGATTGGATCCGTCTTCAATCGCTAAGGTATCTTGTTCATTTGATCCTCCCTTGCAAATACTAATATGACCTATCTCTAGGCGTTTGTTTGGCTTCATCAGCAAGACCACAGCGCATGGACCCTCGAGCTTGACATGCGCCCAGCAAAGGTAGAGTCCTTCTCGTTCAGCATGCCATCAAACTCACGCAACCATAGGAACACTTTTGACAAGAAAAAAGCAATTTGATGTTGATAGCAATCGATTATATATGTATTTGTGCTCCACTCCAAACCTTTAAGCTTGTACGCGATCCGTGCGCCCTGTCCAAAACTGAGGCAAAAATGCCCCGAGGGAGGATCGAACTCCCGACCTTCGGATTGCCGCTTGTGTAAGCGTCACTATGAGACCGACGACATAACCAACTAGCCCATCAAGGCGAGTTTCCGAAAAGCAATTTCATAACTAGTATAAATTGTACCCATACGCACACCAGTAGCTTCCTGACTACAATAAAGTCAGAATTAGGTCGTTCGAGGCTTATGTGTGTTGGATTAAGATACTGGATTTAGAGCAAAATATAAGTATGTACGCTAAGCTAATGAACGCTGCAGGAGAAGGACATAGCCGATACTAGAATTCCTGCGCTCTATGAATACTTTACGACCCATTGCGAGTTAGACGATCCAATGTTGTTGATAACCTGTATGATGGATGAGTGAACAGATAGAGACCAGCCAAATGAAAATACTCACTGCCATTCTTGAGGCATGCTGGCTCCACATCATGTTCGAAATCATTTGGGTCTGCTGTTGTTGCTGAAGCATCTTTTGCATAGCAGTCAACGCCGCAGTGTGGGCATCCCCACTGCCACCTGCAGTAGGATCCCCAGATGACGATGGGCTCATGGGTCCGTTCGCCGTCATGCCTCCAGCCAGCTTCCGGAGGACAGCCATCTCGCGGTCTTTGTATCGCGTCAAGAAGCTTGAGATTGGTGCGCTGACATTATCCATTGCAGCCCGCCGTTCGCTTCTTTCTTGCTCGAAAGCTCGCTCCCCGGCTTCATCCTCCTTTTCTCCCTCTTGCCGCATTGTACTTCCTGGACCAAAGTACCAATTATCTCCTCTGCCTTGACGAGTTTCGCTCAACTCGAGTTGTGCCATATCTCTAAGCCTGCCCTCATAAACGTGCTTCCTTTGCAGAGACTTTAGAACTTCCCGCATATCGTTGCACATGGTGTTAATCGACAAAAGGGAAGAGTGGGCTTCGCTGATCTGGTTGTATAGGGGTTTGCTGGGTAGTGGAACTTTGGACGGGGCCTTATCTCCGGCGGCTGCTCGAGTTTCTTCCTGGTCGAGGGGGATGGCGTCTGGAATTCTAGCCAAGAGATCTTGAGTTGCAGATGCTAACATTTCCTTATCGCGGTCAACTCCTACTATTGCCTCCATCATTTTCCGAACAGCGAGGACGAGGAACGGATTACGGCGGTCCACTTTTTGACCCGCTCTTTCCGCCTTGATTTCAAGGTCGGAAAGCTTCTTCTGGTTCTCCAACTACATCGAATGTCAGGATATTTGATAACTGGATGTAAATACGTACCTTGGTAGCATCACCCCAGGGATCAGACCTGCTTGTATCATCCGTGATAATTTGTCTCTGCAACTCGAATTCTCTGTTTCGTCTGTCATCTTCCATATTTTCGAGTTCAGTCATCCCCTGCTCCATAAGATCTGAAACCTCTTCTAGAGCTCTAACGGCTCTAACGACGTCCAACTCCAAGTTATCATCGTCCTCTAGTATCCTTTCAAGTTCTGCATATAACGGATGAAGCTCGGCAAAGGCCGCGAGAATGTGCTCCTTGGCTGGGTCTAGGAACGTTTGACAATACTCTTGATGCTTTCTGGAGCTTTCTTGTTGCCGTATGCGACTTTCCTGTTGCTTGTATTCCTCTTCGAGTCGCGTGGCTGTAGCCCAATCGTTTTTGGAATAGAGCTCGTTCAAACGACTGTAATGCTGCGTGGATCTTTGCTGGTATCCATCATCCCCTTGGTCTCCTTGAGTGTTGGACAAGGTACGGAAGCGCATATCTGAGATTTCGTCGGTAATTCTCGGCCGGATTTCACCAACCTTCTTGCGGATTGCTTCGACAGGCTCGTCTTCATAATACCCAGTGATCACGTCTTTCAATAACCCGGCCATCGATTCGTCGGCGGGTAAGAGAGTACGTGTTGGGTCATAAATGGAAATAGGGTCGTATACCTCCTCGGAGGTGGAGTTACTCGCCTCAGCCACTGGGACGACTTCAGGCTGAGTTTCAGACTCGAGATCGGCAGCTGGGTTCGGCTGTCCTACCGATGGCGGGAGGGTAGCGCGTTGTGTGGTGTTTGAAGAAGATGCCACAACGGTGCTTGGTGGAGTATCCACTTCTCCGGGAGAGAGTTGGAGATGGGCTCTCCATTTAAACCCCTCTGCGCTGAAAAACTTCATAATGGCAAAATATGTAGACTTTGCCACCTGTTTGTCAGACTGTGCACTTTGAATAGCGGCTCCTTGTGCTTCTATAAAGTCCCGATATCGCTGGATAGCTTGATCCTCAAACGTCCCCTGGTTCGGCTGAGCGGAAGGGATTGCTGGGCTGGGGGAACATAGGTTTAGTTGGCTCATGGAGTTCGAAAGTGCTTGTGTGACGGGAGTTGCTGGGGATACATGCTGCTGTACAGCGGCAGGGGGTACGAAGCCAGGGGGAGGGTGGCTAGGTGCTGGATAGGACTTCGGAGCCGCAACCGGAGGTACTGGACTAGTAGGAATGATAATTAAAGGGATTGGCTGGTTTTCATGGTCCAATATGTGATCTATTCTGGTTTGTAGATCTGCGCCGGGAGCCGTATCCCTGATTGCCCCTAGACACGGATAATCTCAGAAACCAGAACCGACATAGGAGCCTGCTGGACGCACAATCTACACGTTCCGGAGCGAAACCCATTGCAATCAGGTCATTGCGTTCACTCATTGTTGGTGGTTAGAGGTCAAGAAAGAACTGGAGCGATCCACTCCGTTTCAGAAGTACCTTTATAATTCCCAAATTACACCTCCAGGCGCATTTCTATCGGATTCGGGCACAAGCTTGGCGGTTCACCTGATTGGGCGCTTTTTCCGTGTCCGTTCGAACAAAGCAAACTTTTCTTTTCGACCAACTGCCACACCACATTGACGTTGATAGCCGGATATCGACATTGGATTTGATTTTAAGATTATAGGTAAGAGCGAACATAGCCATGACATTGTGTTTCACCAGTTTGACAAGTGAAATTTGCGTTTTTACAGCATGCAGCGTCTGACAAAGGAGGTTTCAAGATGTTCATTGGCATTTTCAAGGCCGTTGAAATATCAAATAAGAGCATTCAGTGAAGCGACGACGCAGCAAACGGCAGAGGCCAGCTTTCAGTCGGCGCAAAATCCAACATCTCAGTCGTCTTCTACCTCAAGAGCATCTTTAAAACCAAAAGCAGATTCAACGAAACGTCCACCTGTCGCTTGGCCTCAGCGACCGAACCAGGACCCTGCCGAACAGACAGCACATTTCCAAAAGACTGCTATCGAGTACCCATATTTCGTTCCAAGAAACTCGAATGGCTGTGTTCCTGTCTACTCTGATTTTAAGAGCAACAGAAGTCGGGAAATCACCTTGATTCGGAATGTCGAAGGCGATGTCAATGTAGGTGGACTGTGTCAATGTACGCTTTAATGATCTAACATGTCTTTTTTTAGGCCCTCAAGGATGACTTGGTAGCGACTCTCTTCCCGGACACTCCTAACAACCGCTTCTGGAACCAGCGGTTGAAAACCAACATACGAGTTCACCATAATCGTCACGTAGTGATGCAAGGCGGTCGTTGGGCGAACCATGTGCACAAGTGGTTATTAGCAAGAGGGTTTTAAAGAACGCTTCAGCCCTCTACTGGCCTCTCATATGACAGACCTGTATTCTAATCTCATAGATTAATGACCCACCTCGTGTTTTCGTGCCGTAGGTGCCTTGAACCGTGACTTGCTTACATTGAGATAGTGGGAGCCTTGAAGCCGGAACAAGTAGGCTTAAAAGACCTTGTTCTCACCGCATCTGACCATAAAGCTTGTCTCAGCTGGGAAACATAAAAAATACAAAATTACAGTGCTCGATAACAAACATTCTCCACGACCATATCTGTTTAAAACCTGGAATAAGCGACGGTCCTTTGCGGGTGCTGTAACCAAAACTCTATCAAAGGTGTCAGCATGATCGATTTTATGTTCACATGGAGTCACGGTCCGGGCCTCAGGCGCATCATATCCGGCCATGAACGTCAATGAAAACGCTCGGTTACTTGGCGTACCAGTCCCATAAACGGCCATAGTGAATTTTTCCCTTGCTTGTTCTGGGAAACCGTTGTAGGATGTACCTCCGTTGCTAAAGTCCGGGAGTTGAGGGTAGTGAATGGACATCGTGTAAGCAGGTTGCCCCTCTGCTATCTGTGCTGGGTACGTACCTTCCATAATGGTTTGTTCCAGCTGAGATCACTCTCGGCATTGGCGGCGGCGGTGGGGGACCTTGTTGCGTGAAAGGAAAATGAACGATTTGCTCCGGGTACGGAGCTGCCGCTAATGTGTGCTGAAACTGTGGTTGTCTGCAGTTTAAATGCCCAGGGGCTTGATATAGACCTTCGTTGATAGTCCCGGGGATTAACATCGTAGCGAAGGGAGCGGTTGGATAGGGGTTTAGCTGGTGGACCGGGAAAGGAGGTCCTACGAGAAATTTTGAGGATGTAAGATGCACTATTGAAGAGTTTAACTTACCTTCAGCTGGGTTATAATGCGCATAAGTCCCTTCTATGATCTTCATTCCTACCGACGCACTTGGCACAGGAGGGAAAGGGGAGAAATCGCTCCAGGTAGCTGCGGATGCCTCACTAACTAGGGCGGCTTCTTTGGTTGGTCTTAGTTCGTTGGAATCATCGAAGGAAGACGAGGCGCTATGGTCCGCATATGTCGCCTTATTGATCGTTTTGATGACCTGACGGCCTGATCCAGAGAATTTTGTGGTAGCCTTCCTCTCACGTGATCCCTTTTTAATACGGGTATTATTATGCCTAAGTTCATGTCTTTTAAGGTCGTGTTGGTGGATTGCGACATGTTGGCTAGTGGGGTATATCAATACAGTAGATGGGATGCCGGAGACAGGATAGCGAACCAGTTTTCGTGACTGCAACGATATGATTTTAGGCCTAAATGACCTTCCTTTTTCCTCATGTGGGCCATGATATGCTGCTTGGTGCCAATATATGGGCAACCAGCCACCCCACATCGCCATTTTTTCTTATCCGTTGCATTCGGGATGACAATAGCGAGGGAGGCAATCAACTCTGGGTCGAATACTTCATTTTTCTCCAATGCGCTCCTACGC